TCATGTTCTCAGACATCGAATTTATTGTAAATGATGTCATAAAACTCTTGAAGTGTCTGAGTTGTTTGGGAAACTGCCACTTTTGCAGTAGTGCAACTTCACTTGTAGCATTGGGGCTTTTGCTGCCAATTCGAAACGGCTGAGATCAATAAACCACTTCCTATGTCATCTGTTTCCCGTCTCAGACAGCTGTGATTTATTCAAGAGATGTTTATAATATGCTGAGAACCTGCGCTGAAGCATTTCACACTGCTGACGAACATTGTTTCTCAAGGGACCTGCCACTGTTGAGCCCCACCTGAACAGTCCTAAAAATACCTTTCTCGTGCTTAAGTTAATTAAATTGCACTTAATTTCATTGCTGTCAAAAGTGCCTTGATTTGGCCAACATTACACATCCTTTACACTTACCGTGGCCACAAGCCCTTGCAGCTCTAAATTCAGTGTCTGCAGCTCTTTCCTGGCTACTGTGATTTCTACTTTGGCCGATGACACGGCTTCTGTGTTTTTGGCATTGGTCGTCTGCATCTCATCCATCTAGATTCATAAGTAGAGAGTATAAGAGCTATTAGTTGGAATGCCAAAATTATCGAAACATTCAGACAATGTAAGCACTTCTTGTGTGCAGACCTTGAGTTTGTAATAAGCCTCAGCCTCCTCTCTGTGTTGCTGCACAGATTTATCATATTCCATTCGCATCTTGTTGAGTGCTACAGAGATGTCAAAGGACTTCCCGGTGTCTACTTCAATCATTGAGACTGAAGTGTCCATTGTTGTTGTGCCCAGTTTAGATTGCAAAGATGACAATTCCTAAAGTGATAGACATAACACACAGAGAGAAATTAATAAAAAGAAAGAAATACATTAAATTAATCAAAAATCCCATAGTCTCTTACATTTTTACAAAACATTTAAAAAAATGCTGTTCTTTCAAACTTTCTATTCATTAAAAGAATCCTGAAAAAATGTATCATGGTTTCCACAAAAAATAGTAAGCAGCACTGTTTTCAACAGTGATGATAATAATAAGAAATGTTTCTTGAGCTTAATAATGAATAAATTAAAACATATTTAAATCCAAACAGTTATTTTAAATTGTTACAAAATGTCACCATATTAGTGTTTTTACAGTTTTGATCAAATAAATTTAGTCTTGGTGATCATTAGGTGATCATTGTTTTATTTTTTAATGTTCATGATTGAAAACAATAAAATAATATAAATATATTTGCTTTTTTTATATTTGCAATTTCACATTATCTTGAGAAATTTCACATTATCTTGATTACTCCTTGCATGTATGGATTTCAGGATTTGACGGAAATGTACCTCCTCTTGTGTTTTGCTGACAAAGTCCAGTTCATTTTTCAGGCTGGAGAATTTGGCATCCAAATCAATTCTTAAGTCAGAGGCCAATTCAATGTCCTGAAAAGGGATACAGGCATTTGTGGTCAAAGTTTTGTCTACGAACAACAAATTAAAACAATAACAGATCGTTTTTAGAATACATTATGTTACTGGATGTCATCCTGCTCACCTTTTTCATGGCAGCAATATCAGACTCAAGCTGAAACTTCACTCCTTGTTCAAAGTCAAGCCTTAGTGAAAATCCAAAAAAAGAACAATGTTATTTATTGACAATATGCTGTATATTTCAAGTTTGAATAACATTAAGCATTTTAAGAAAAAGAAAAAAAACTATGCCATTGAAAAAAGGAAACACTCACTTAGCCTTCAGTTCATGGGCAGTTCCACGGACATTGTCCAGCTCAATCTCCAGTTTGACAGTGTCGATGGTGAGAGTTTCCAATGTGCTACGATACTCGCTCAGCTGGGCCTCATACTCCACCGTGGCAGTCACGGATGACTCTTGGGACACATCCGTCCCCCCAGTCAGCTGGGACAGCTTGGCCTCCAGAGCTGCGTTCTCATGCTGTAGCGCCCGTACTTTGGCCATGTATGTGGAAAAGCGGTCATTGAGCCCAGAGAGTGTGTGCTTCTCAGCTGCTCTGGAAAGTGTTGGGGCCAAGGCAGAGCCTGATGCTGGACCGGAGGCGAGTGCGGCGCCTGCACCGAGTCCTCCTGCAGCAACGGCGCGACCCATAGCGAATGCAGGACTGTCAAACAGTGCACCACCACCACCACCTCCCAGTGCCAATCCTGCACCACCTCCAGCACCTCCACCAAGGCCAAAACCAAGGCCAAGACCTCCACCGGCTCCAAAGCCCAGTCCTCCTCCCAGGCCAAGACCTCCACCGGCTCCAAAGCCCTGTCCTCCTCCCAGGCCAAGAGCTCCACCTAAGCCAGCACCACCTCCTAGCCCCAGACCCAATCTTGCTCCACGACTTGCACCAAGACCTCCGTATCCCCCAGACATCCTGGAAGAGGCTAAGGAAACAGACAAAGCCATGGTGAATAGCTATGGATGAGTGCTGAAGGATCAGAGTCTGAAATGAGCAGAGAGTGCAGGCAGAGTGAGAGACTAATGCTCGCAGTTTAAATACACTTAAGGGAGGGAGGGCAGTGCAAAAAGAGACACTCTATTGAGAAAGAATAAGCTGTAACTTGTCTCAGTGGCAAGGTATGGCGTCGGTTGTCTGTTAAACCTCAAAAAAATTCTCACCTTCAGGCATATTTTCCCTCTAGGACGGGACTTCAATCTAAATGCTGTATTTGCAGTGAAAGCTAAAAGATGAATATCACCCTTAGAACTCACCAACCGATTTTTTAAATGGCCTTATTCTCTTTTGGACAATCACTAAACTAAAATACAAAACAATGACTGTTTCCAAACAGGTTTCCCAAACTTTTATAATCAGCTGTCTCATAATTGATTTTTTTTAAGCCAATCGCCTAAGAATGAGACTAATCACAGGAAAATTACATTACTGATTTATGACTAAAAGACATTTTCGTTAATTAAAACAAAGCTATAATATAAATATATTTTTAACAAATTAAATGAGAATTTAATTTGAAATCGTGCCTTAAGTTGAAGTATACTAAAATAAAAATAAATCAAAGATAAATAGAAATATAAAAAAAAAACTAATACAAATGACAAAAGCACATAACAAAATTACTCAAACTTAAACTGAAAATATAAAAATAAAAGCTAAATCAAACTAAAAAATATATAGGAAAAACTATAATAGTACATGGTCTTAAATACTCTTCATTAGCAAATATTATGAGCTGTGACTTCAAAGGGAACAGACAGGAAAAATTTATTAAATATAATTCAATTAAAATAATAAAATAAATATACAATCAAATATACAATTTTATGCTTTTAAGAGCCCTCCATGAAGAATCAGGCACTGGTAAAAACATACTTTCAGAAAATATTAGTGGTATACAAGCTGCTTGCATGTATATTTAATTAAATTTATTCAGATTACATTGCTACTTTAGACCAGTCAATGGTTCTTTTTAGAACCCACACATTACCAGACTTTCACAGTGTTCCAAACACAACAAACTCCCACAGAAGCATGAACCTTGCTGCTAAAAGATGCTTGAAAAATGAAAACAATATGTGTTCTAAAATTGGCTCAATATATCAAACCTGTTTGATCCACTGACTGAATTAAATCATAGTCCGAAGTTAAAAAGTCTGAGCACATCATACACTACGCAATTTTCTTTGAATTTTGTAAGCCCAGCCTTTACGCAATTATTATTACAGATCTCTTACATAAGGTCAGTGCTATCAGTGACATTAATACAATTTGGAATCTGCTTAGTCTTGAAAGTCTATGTTATGCTCAAGGGCAGACTCTACTGATAGGTTTGTGCCTGTTCTGATGGCAGGTGATGCATACCTTCACTCATTTTGCAAATTCAAGGCATGCCCATGGCATAAATACACTCAGCTGCCACATCTGTGATTCATGTTATGAACAATTAAAATTTAATGTAATAGAAACCTTTATCGTATGAAGAGAAAGGCCAAGACAACTCAATTATTGTGAAAAATGTGCAAATTAAATCATTCAATACTAGATTAGGATCCCTGGATCCAGACGCAGAATCAGACATGAAAATCAATGTAATGTATAAAATCCCTTCAACAATAAATGATGGGGAAAGGGAAGGGGAAATCACACCCTGTTGTTCTGATCAGAAGAGGAATTGTCTGTGGTTCAGTGGAAAGCAATGTGATTATTTTTGTTTCTATAAATCCCAGAACAGTCTAAAGTGCACTATGCACTTCTCCTATAGGTTATTTCGAATATTTCGAATATTTATTCTGATACTGGTTTATTGCAAGAGACAAACTCAAAGGTTAGGTTAATCCTTCTTGATTTACATATAACAGTACATTTATTCGTAATGCAGAAATAACTAGTAGAACTCTGGTGACGAATTTGGCTGGAAGTCAAAAAGTACATCAAAATGAATGTGGTGTATCTTATTGGTTCAAAAGGCCCCTTTGAGCAAGATAGTCTAAGAGCTCTTTGCTCTGAGAAACAGTTGCGAAACCAAAGTTGAATCTGGGTTACATACTAAAATGTCGGTGTTTCTTTTAAAATGTATTTTCAGTTTCATACAGTATAGGTCCTGAAAGCCCCTGAATTTACATAAATGTCTTTACATAAAACAAAACGGCAGGACGGATGGATGGATGGATTAGATAGATAGATAGATAGATAGATAGATAGATAGATAGATAGATAGATAGATAGATAGATAGATAGATAGATAGATCTTTCTCTTTCTGTTGCCTATTTTTTCCTCATTTCTTGTTTATTTGAGGTATATATAGCCTATATCTCATAAACACATGGCACATACACATGTAGGCCTACTCACTTGGGTCATTGTGATGATGATAGTTTAGTTTCCGCACTGTCAAACAGAAAACATACTGAGAGGGGGGCCTGGATTGGTCCATAGAGCTTTCCTGAGAAGACCACTGTGCTGAGACAGCTGAAAACTGCCTAGCGGTGATGAACAAAGACCATTGACCAGCATCACCAGGTCTCTATCACAATAGTATTAAAACAAAGAGCCTGCTTTCCAGAAGGCTAGGCCACCATAAAGAGGCATGCATTGGTAGCTGTTGCCGTTTAGCTGAGGGGAGGTCAGTGGACATTTACGCTTGCATTGTGGTCATGTCTATGGACTAATAGTGGTCTGTCACTTAAAAAGCATCAGGACAGAAATGCCTCTGCCACGACGTCGATCCTCCTTCCTGGGCCAGGCTGCAGCGGAGCGGCCCGGCGGTGTGGGCCGCATGAGTGCGACAGGGACCTCTGCGCCTCGGGGAGTGTTTGTAGGCATGGCTCCCACCGGAGGTACCAGCAGCCTGGGTGCACGCGTGTCCCGCAGAGCGCTGGGCATCAGCAGTGTGTTTATGCAGGGCCTTAGAAGCACCACGGTTCCTGTAGTGACCCAGCCCTGGGATCGAGGCCACCAGTATGGCTTCGACAGCCTTAACACATGCCTGTTGGAGTATCGTGATAAAGTTCACGCTCTGGAACAACTCAACCAACAACTGGAGGAACAGATCAGACACTGCTTAGATAGGAAAGCCTTCAGCGCCGGGACATGGACTGGCCTAAAGCAAGACTGGGAGGATGTTTATATGCAGGTATAGGAATTGGGCTGTATAGATCAAGCATAGAGGTCAAAGAGCACACTTTTCATTTAATGAATTAAAACTTTTAATATCTTTTAAATTAAAATATTTCTTTTTTATTTATTTATCCTACAATTTTTTTGTAGAGAAAATATCTTAAATTTAAGTTGACTTTTTTTACACTACACTGAACCCATTTTTTTAAACATAAATCTAACAAAATGTAGCGATATTTATATTTGTTAAAAAAAAACATTTGACCATATATTTAGAGAATATTTATTTATTTAGAGAGAGAGAGAATATTGTCAAACTTTATATTTAAATTAATTTATATATATATTTTCTGGGAACAGGTTAAAAAAAAAAGAACCTCCACTGAGGAGGTAAAAAAGATACTCGTACTTGCTGGCGTACATGCTAACATCTTCCTGCTTTCTGTAAGGTCAGTGAGGCCACTCTGGACAACGCTCGACTTATGCTCCAGACTGAGAATATTCAAGCCAATACAGAGGACTTTAAAGAGAGGTGTGAGTGTGCTTCATTGATTAAAACAGAGAAACAGATTTTCATCGCTCTAGCATTTATCTGCATGAACAGATTTCCAGCAAAGAGTGTGTTTTTATGCACGATTGTGTAGGTACGAGAATGAGCAGCCGTTCCGTAAAGCAGTAGAGGAGGAGATTAACTCTCTGTACAAAGTCATCGATGATGCAAACCTGACCAGGATGGACCTGGAAAATGATATTGACAGCATGAAGAATGAGCTGATGAATCTGGAGCAAAGTCATATGGAGGTGAAATAAGACCACAGCTCAATGATAGAATTATCTTAGAGTTAGAGTAAAATTAGGATCTTCTTTTGCTCTTCTTTAGGATATTAGAGTGCTCTATGAGCAGATGTCAGGGTGTGAGGTTGATAAGCCGGATGCTCCCACTGAGACCAACCTGGACCAGATTCTAGCTTTCATCCGTTCCCACTGGGAGAAGGTCATTGAGAGGAACCGTGCTGAGACTGACGCCAACTTTGAGTGCAAGGTAAACCATAGAACATGAATCATATATATATATATATATATAACGGTTAGTTCCAATCCTTGATTCTGATTGGTAAATAGCTGTTTTATTCACGATAAAACACGGCTATGACCGCTTCACACGGTTCTGTGTATCACTACACAATACTTATTGCTTATATATATATATACACAGTATATACACACACACACACACTTACCCCCATGTGTGAATGTGCAGCAGGCCCACAGTGTGAACAGTAAGCTGAGTCGAGAAGAAGAGGAGCTTGAGAGTCTGAAGACAGAATGCAATGATGCCGGGTGCAAGATTCAGAGTCTGCAGGCCGAGACTGAGTCTATTAGAGCTCTGGTAGGACAACTTTCTCAAAGTGTGATGCAAAAAAAATCATAAAGCACAACAATATTCAATTGACTGAACTTTGTATGATCCCTGATTCCCTGCAGAAACGAGGCCTGGAGAACGCCCTCAATGATGCCAAGCACTGGCATGACATTGAGCTCCAAAACCTGGGCTCTGTTATCGGAAAGCTGGAGGGCGAGCTCACTGACGTCCGTGGGGACATCGAGCAGCAGCGTCGGGACTATGAGACCTTGCACAACAACAAGATGAAGCTGGATCTGGAGATTGGAACGTATCATGGAATCCTGGACGGAGAGGAGAGCAGATTCCACTCCTCAATGTGAGGCTCATTTTCAATCTGCTTTTGACAGGAGGACAAGGACTGTAAAAACAACTAAAGCCCTGACTCAATCTTCTTCCTCGTTCTTCCGAAGTCTTAAGTTCTTTGAAACTCTCCCTAGTTTCAGTTTCTGTGATTCAAGACAGATCTCTCAGGGGATATTGTATGTAACCACAATGTTCTGTACTGTAGGTTCCCCGATGGTTCTTCAGTACCTGAGGGACGAACTGATGCCACATTTTCCACATCTGAACCACAGAGCTGTCCACAGACAGAAGGTACTTTTTCAAAATATATTTTATCTACAAAACATAGTTCTCAAATTATCTGACTGTAGTATGAATATTAAGCATGATGAAGCTTTTTAAATATTTCTTAACTTGATATTAAGCTTTTTGGAGATTAAAAAACATGTTTTTGATGTCCTTCGTCAGGTTCTAATGCTCCTGGTGCTCCAGAAGAAAGAATGAATGAATGAAATATTTTATTCATTTTCATTTGTTTCTCCTCACTTGTAGTTTACAGCATCTATAGACTACATGATTGCTGTGCAGGTTAAGAAATGAATAAAAACAAAAGACATAAATTGAAGATCCAATCATAAAACATTGACTTTATTTTTATTTAGCATTCAGCTGATTTTATATACCAAGACTCTCCAGTTGATTCTCTAGCCTCTATGATTCCATATCCTGATCCTATATGCCTATATTCTGTTTTACTCCCACGGGTACCAAAGCCATAAATGATAGTGTGGGGAAATATGAATAATTGACTATGGTCAAAACTGAAGCTCCTTAACACGATAATGACACCTTGTGGTTATAATGACACGTCTATGAAACTGCCACTTAGACATTACTTCAAATCCATGTTATCGTTCTGAACTATCATTTCTTTGTTTAGGAAATCCTCAAATAGCAGTTTACTGCATGCATGGGGAAAAAACACAAAGCTATAACAATAGACAATAGCGGACTGACATTTCTAGTACAAATAGGTAACCATGGTGTGTTTTAAATAAAACCAGTCCCGCATTCACACTAATTTAAGCAGTTTAGTAAAAACGTACTTAATGTTTTATATATAAAAAAAGTGCAAATTCATGCAAAATTAAGAAATGACAGTCTAACATAGTATACTAAAACATAGCTGCATAAACAGATAAAAAACAAGTTATTCTTTCCAACAGAAACTGAATGTTATTCATATTTAGGTGTATGAATTATGCAGAATTTGGATAAAGCAGATTTCATTTCTCTGGTCTCGTTGGGTCTCCAATAACTGAGAAGCATCCAGCACAGTAACGGGCCGGTTTCTTTGTGTTAGCAGAATTCGCTCTTTTCAGACGGAATCCAAGACTGCTGACCCTCACGTCCTATAAACATCAGCACAGCTGTAATATTCTACATATATGAACAAATAGGTCTGATTGTGTCACATCACAAACACTTCTCACCTGTGAGTTTCCTTGCGTTACACTTTCTGACGGCTGTGGATCTGATGGTTGGACCAGTAGAGGTGTCTGCATGATAAACAACAAATGCATTGCATCAGTTTTTGCTATTCTTTTCAATATAACCAGTTTTAATGATATTCCCATTTAAAAAAAGATTCTTATACCTTCTGAAGTGGCTCCATGGGAAAAGCAGCTGAGAAGTTCAGCATAGAGATGAGCAGCAACACCAGCAGGGATCTTTGCATGTTCCCAGTCATCCTTCACTCTCATACTAACAGTGAACAGGCACACGTCTGTTCAATTAAAACACCACTCAAAGGGTGTGACCCAAAGTTGTTGTGCGTCACAGGGAAAATTACAGCACAGGGCGGCATTGTGTCCATAAAATCAATGTTTATTTAAGACATTTAGGAATTATGTGAAAAAGAATATTTTAGTCCCACACAAAAGATCTCAGTTAATGCCGTTCCTTCAGGTTAAATGGAAATGTTTTTAAAAGATATCAGGGCGACCCGACTCGATATTTGTCCCTGTTGAGCTCTCCCATCTCATACAGAGGTAGCTGAGGAATATATTCAAACACATACAGAAAATGTGATCTATATATTAGATTTCTGTAAAACGTAAACTTGATTCTCATTTAAGTGACTACAATGTGCAATGCTATAAAAAGAATGATAACAGCTAATAATAAATTAAACGTAGAAATACTGCATCACAATTGGAAGTTAATACAAAATCATTAAAAAAAAAATATCAGCAGAGAAATGCAGTATTGGTAATATGAGAAAGAAAATATAAACCGTGTTAAAAATTCACAGCCAGTAATCCTAATTTCAGATGGGTTATTTGAAAGTAAAAGCACAAGGTTAAAAATGTATACAGTCATAAACCATAATTAGGACTTTTTTTGCAGAAAGCACAAGGGAACGTTCTATTTATAGGCTATCTCCAACACTCATACTTCAACATAGTGAATAATCCTGAAAGCACATATCTGACAAGTTAATCGTCAGTTAATGTCAATTTCACTCTCCCTCTTTTTGGTGTGTGTACTGATTCTCAAAGATAAGAGAGAAAGTTAAAAAGAAAAAGACATGGGATTAGATGGGTACATCACAACCCATCCATCCAGTATACAGAGCTGGTGATCGGCAATCCCAAAATCAAAAAGATCTGCACATTAAAACCTGACCCCCCAAAAAGGTAAGAGAATTCAAGTCAATAAAGTGGTGAAATCAAAACACAGTCCCATGTAAAGTGGAAAGTCATGGCACATCTAGCAGATGTTCTGTGCAGACACATTTTGCTCACATTAAATTTCTATCATGTTCTGCAAAACAGCAACATTCATTATGAGCAATATCCCAAATATAACATACGATTAACATACTTCTAAGTAAGAAAGATTCTTGATAAAATAGAATTAAAAACAGCTTTATCCTCAATCATACCCACTTGATTATACTCTTTCTCCCAATTATGGCATGGGTTAACAGTGGTTAACTTTTACCTGTCTAGAAATCTAAATTGGCTTCCAGTTTAGAGGAATAAAAATGACAAATTTATATGTGTACATGATATTACCTAACAACTGATACTTAAAAGGGCCCACAACACACGCTATCTGTTAACAGTGCAAAAGTGCGTTTTTTAGCAGAAGTGCGGCCCAGTTGTTGTCAATGTCTTTGAACGTACGTATGAATTCTACATTTGGTCGTCAAACGAACAGAACAGGATTATGTCACCATTAAAGGTGTACTGGCATATCTGCTTTAGGCTTTTCTTAGAATAAAAGCCTGAATAATGGTACCTCTAATGCAAACATGTGAACCAAGGATCATGAGTGCATTTTTTTAGATTATTCAGTACAAAAACTTCTTTCTTTTTGTTAAATTATCAAAATCCTTTTGGGCTGAGGGAGATGTGGCGTTAAGTTGGCTGTAAGGGTATACAGCCTACCCCTACCCCGCCCTCATGGCAAACCATCGGTGTCATAAGCATCCAGCGGTTCGTTTCTGGGTCGTACATTTCCAAAGAGCTGAGATTGGACTGTCCATCATAACCTCCCACTGCATAGAGTCGACCGCAGTTGGCTACTAGAGAAATGCGGCTGCGTCGAGTGTTCATGGCCACTAGGTGGCTCCACTGATCTGTTATTGAGCTGTACACCTCTGCTCCACTGAGGAACGCAGAGCCATCATAACCTCCTGCCACATACAGATTGCTGCCCACGGCTGCAGCACCATGCCGACAGCGCTTGTTTATCATGGGAGCAACAGGGTGCCATAATGCTGTATGCTGGTTATAGTACTCCACCTAGTGGCAGAGACATGAAACAAGGAGTATTCACAACTTTACATATTGTAGTATTTTGTAAATTATATCCTGCCAATTGAATTATGATGTTCACTTACTGTGTTAAAGATCTGTAGACCATCATGACCGCCCGAAACATATATTCTGCCTTCAAACACAGTAACACCAGCAGCACTGCGGCTTGCACTCATTTCTGTAACTATTGTCCATCTGGTAACAGAAGACACACACACACACACACAAAATCAGACACATTCTGATTCCGAAAAAGCACAGCAAAAACTTTGCTGTTAAACACGTCTTTCCATTAAATATTAATATATTAACAAATTAAATTACGAAAATAAACATCCTTGTAATAAGTAAACACTGCTTCAAGTAATTAAATAATCAGCCAATAATTTCAAATAATCAGCCAATAATAAAATAGAACACAGAACCAAATTATAATAACTAATAGATCAGACGATATTACTGACATTAATGTGCTATTTTAAACATAAAATATAAATTTATTAACACATTAAAAAAACTTTAAAAACATGACATAAGTAAAAACTGTTATACTGTAATAATTACTTGGAAAAACAAAAACTATATAAAACACAGAATCAATCATATAAACAACATCATTATTGATGATATAATAGACAGTATCAAGTCTTTCTTTCTTTCTTTCATTTCTTTATATAGCACTGCTAATACAACCGAAGTTGACCAAAGTGCTTTAGATAGAGGCAGTTCATTCCATAATCTCGGTCCCATAACTGCAAAAGCGCGATCACCTTCACTTAAAATCTATTAGGCTGCTATCATAAAGCAGTGCTCAAATATTGGACAGTGCATGAACACCTTAAATAAGTTCAGCCAAGATTAAATAAGCATTAGATTTTAATAACATTCGCAATGCTGTGGCACCAACTCCAGGCTAGACGGTGGTAAAGACTTAAAATTATTAACATTATGACTTTTTGACTAATTTAATGTACATTTTTTTTCTTTTTATTATTAGTGTCTTTTGCAATATAAATGTTTAACATTAAATAATAAATTGAAACAATTAAATAATTAGTTCATACTCTTTTTGATCCATTTTAAACTCTTTTAAACATTTTTAGATCCAGATATTATTGCCACATAATTATATGTATTTTAAAGGCTTCTTAGTTTGCTTGTTTTTTCAACAAAATTACTTAAAATGCTGATTACAAATTAATCAAGTGACAGCCCTACATTGATCCAATTTTCTAAACATTATCTAAAGAATGTTTATGACTCACCTGTCAGTCTCTGGGGAATAGCACTCAACAGAATTTAGAGAGGACTTGCCATCATATCCACCACAGACATATATATGGCCATCAACAACAACTGTTCCCATTGCACTAATGCAGAAAGAAGAGATGATAGACCAAAAGCATCAGATACATACATACGATCACATGTACCTAAAACTCTTGGTTTAAATCCAGCTTCAAATAGCTTTTCAAATAATATATATTAAATATATTTCCCTCACAATTTCACGATTTCTTACCTGCGTTGAGTATTCATACTAGCAACTTTGGTCCACGTGTCAGTTTCTGGGTTGTAAACTTCCACAGTTCTAAGCCGTGATTGACCGTCGTAACCACCAATGGCATACAGCAGCCCATTCACAACAGCAACACCCACTCGACTGCGGGCTGTGCTCATAGGTTGGCATCGCTCCCAACAGTTTCCAATTGGATCAAATACCTCCACGACATTTAATGAGTCACCTGTGCATAAAACGTTGACTCATTAACAAAAACTGCCACTTGACAGTAACTAGCACATGAGTTTTCTAAAAGGACAGTGTGAAAGAGGAGGTACCAGCACTGTTGAGGCCCCCGACCGCATAGATTAAACCTGCGATGGATGTGCAACATCTCTGTCGGGTCTTGTAGGCTGGGAGGTGCGGCCGTCGCTCTGGCATCAGATGGTAATCTTTTGCCTCATCAACAAGGTCCCTGTTAGAGTAAAGGTCAAATGCATATTCATGCATGGATACTTTTGGAAACGCAGAAACAATTCCCAAAATAATTAATCCCTACATCCTTTCAAAAGTATTACTAAAAAACATTACATAGTCTCAGCCATCAGCCACCTAATAATTATTATTTACATTACATACAACCAAAAAGTCACCATGAAATCAAAATTGATCTTTTTTTAATGGAATATAGAAGTATTTATTATAAATGATTTATCTATGCAAATTCTTTTTTTAATTCATGTGCCCACATATTCTTTAATCAAAATAGCTCTTAATCAAAATAATCTCTTCTCTGATGACGTTTTTTGGGTGCAAGGGCAAGACAACCTGTCACTCACATGAGATCATAATAGAAAACAACAATGATCCAATCAATTTCCGATGACCAAAATAAAGTCCCGTGCAACATTTTTTCTTGTTAGAGTTTCACTCAGTTATACAGTACATCACAATAGGCATGAAAAGATTATCACAACTACTGTTTCATGCTGACTTGAAGTACAATGGTACTCTTAGATACTGTATTGAAAATGTATTTACTGTAGATTTAGATCTGCAAAAATGTCTTAGTTTGGATTCGAAACAGTGTGTTTTTGCCAAAAGGTCCATTTATGGGGCATAAGTTATCTGAAAGAAACGTGCCTGCATTTGTGGCAGCAGCGTACAAGCTCATCTTGTTGGACTCGGTCAGCAAGGAACTGAGGTCGACATAGAGGCAGTCGGGTTTTAGACAGTAACTCCGGTAACCTTGGCTCACGATCTTCACGTGCATGTTGCACCCAAGCAAGCACGGCCTCAAACACCTACAAACAACAAAAAAATTCAGATTTTCTCTAATTTTATAGCCTCTCATTAAAGAAAACACCCAAAACTATGAAACAATGAAAATTTGTGATTTACATCCATCATTCAGTACCATCCTGTTCTTGTCACTTTATGTTAGTCATTAGAATCTGACCTGCTCCTCTGCTTGGACATTGAGCTCGTCGCAGCCCACGAGCTCAAACACCTCCTCCGGCCGAAGGGCCAGGAACTCCTCGGACAAAGATACCTCCACAAAATGCTGGTGAACAAAGATGTTGGCAGCATCGTAAAGTGTGGTGCACATCATAGTCTCTGCGAACTGCCGTACACCAAGACAATTCTTTGGATGCAACCTGTTAAATAGGAGCAAGTCTAGAATGATCTGTGAAATGAATCACTTTTATATGTCCTTTTTATAATCTTTATAACTCCATAACCTGAGAGAGGCCTGTCACAGTTATTTACTGAATTGGGCTGATTGTGATTATTGGATCCTATATTATTTGATTATACAATTATGCATTCACATTATCGTTTAAAGGTTTGGTATCAGTAATGTTTTTGAAAGAAATCTCTTATGCTCACCAAGGCTGTATTTATTTGATCAGAATCCAATAAAACAGTAATGTTGTGAAATATTTGAACGATTTAAAAGAACTTTTTTATTTTAATACATTTAATGCAATTGAAATGCATACTTGGTGAATAAAAGTATTAATTTCTTAAAAATCTTACTGACCCTAAACCTTTGAACCAGTAGTTATTACTATATCTACACTCACCTAAAGGATTATTAGGAACACCTGTTCAATTTCTCATTAATGCAATTATCTTATCAACCAATCACATGGCAGTTGCTTCAATGCATTTAGGGGTGTGGTCCTGGTCAAGACAATCTCCTGAACTCCAAACTGAATGTCAGAATGGGAAAGAAAGGTGATTTAAGCTATTTTGAGCGTGGCATGGTTGTTGGTGCCAGACGGGCCGGTCTGAGTATTTCACAATCTGCTCAGTTACTGGGATTTTCACGCACAACCATTTCTAGGGTTTACAAAGAATGGTGTGAAAAGGGAAAAACATCCAGTATGCGGCAGTCCTGTGGGCGAAAATGCCTTGTTGATGCTAGAGGTCAGAGGAGAATGGGCCGACTGATTCAAGCTGATTGAAGAGCAACTTTGACTGAAATAACCACTCGTTACAACAGAGGTATGCAGCAAAGCATTTGTGAAGCCACAACACGCACAACCTTGAGGCGGATGGGCTACAACAGCAGAAGACCCCACCAGGTACCACTCATCTCCACTACAAATAGGAAAAAGAGGCTACAATTTGCAAGAGCTCACCAAAATTGGACAGTTGAAGACTGGAAAAATGTTGCCTGGTCTGATGAGTCTCGATTTCTGTTGAGACATTCAGATGGTAGAGTCAGAATTTGGCGTAAACAGAATGAGAACATGGATCCATCATGCCTTGTTACCACTGTGCAGGTTGGTGGTGGTGGTTTAATGGTGTGGGGGATGTTTTCTTGGCACACTTTAGGCCCCTTAGTGCCAATTGGGCATCGTTTAAATGCCACGGCCTACCTGAGCATTGTTTCTGACCATGTCCATCCCTTTATGGCCACCATGTACCCATCCTCTGATGGCTACTTCCAGCAGGATAATGCACCATGTCACAAAGCTCGAATCATTTCAAATTGGTTTCTTGAACATGACAATGAGTTCACTGTACTAAAATGGCCCCCCCAGTCACCAGATCTCAACCCAATAGAGCATCTTTGGGATGTGGTGGAACGGGAGCTTCGTGCCCTGGATGTGCATCCCACAAATCTCCATCAACTGCAAGATGCTATCCAATCAATATGGGCCAACATTTCTAAAGAATGCTTTCAGCACCTTGTTGAATCAATGCCACATAGAATTAAGGCAGTTCTGAAGGCGAAAGGGGGTCAAACACAGTATTAGTATGGTGTTCCTAATAATCCTTTAGGTGAGTGTATATCAGTAACACTTTACAATAAGGTCTCATCTGGTAACATTAGTTAAAGTTCACCCAAAACTTTTAATTCTTTCTTTATTTACTCACCCTCAAGTTATTCCAAACCTGTATGTATTTCTTTGCTCCGCTGAACACAAAAATATATATTTTGAGGAATGTCCAAAGTATTTCAATGTGACCCATCAATTGTTTGCTTACTTATATTCTTTAAAATATCTTCTTTTGTGTTCAGCAGAAGAAAGAAATGCATACATGTTTGGAACAACTTGAGGGCGAGTAAATGTCAGAATTTTCATTTTTTGGGTGAACTATCCCTTTAATGTATTAACTAACAGGAACTAACAATGAGCAATACATTTGTTACAGTATTTATTATTATTATTAATAATAGTATAATATTTAGTATTTAGTATTTATTGTCCATGTTAGTGCACAGAGCATTAACTAATGTTAACAAATACAATTTTTTATTTAAATAATGTATTAGTAAATGTTGAAATTAACATTAACTAAGATTAGTAAATGCTGTAGAAGTATTGTTCATTCTTAATTCATGTTAACTAAAGAAGTTAACTAATGAAACCTTATTGTAAAGTGTTACCTCTATATCTATATTATATGTCATGAAGAAATCAAAATTGTTTAAGCGGTACCTCTGCTGTAGAAAAGAGCAGCAGGCATCTTTGACATTTTGAAGCTGCAGGAAACTGGCCCCTATCAGGAGGGCCTGGACGTTCTGTTGGTCTATGGCTATGTGTCCATTGTAGGCAAAGTTTATTAGGGATTCAAGTGCACTGTTTAGAGGCAAAACAGAGATACAAATATTAGCATACACTTACAAACAAAAAAAGACCATGTCTAGAGATCTTGATTGATTTTGTATCTTCACCTGGGATCCATGCCCTGCATGACAATCTCATCCTGTTTGCATTCCACCATGTCATTGGTGAACATGGCATGGAAGTACGGAATAGAAGCAGCAAGGACTATTCTGTGAGCACTGAATTTGTGCTCTCCTACCTGCACACAGACGGGTGCAAAAATTCTGATCAGAAATCATCTCATACACATTATATATTAAATGTCCTGGTTCAGTGTTGTTAACGTGACATTCAGTGCCAAATGAAAAATCTGAAACATTATTATCCCTCCACCCACATTTACAGACAAGTGAAATTGTATTGAATGAAGCAGCAAATGTGGAGAGAAATGGAACATTCAGGCATTAAGAAAACCTGATGTACTGAAAGTATACCATAATCCTTAGCATGATCTGTAGTATGTACTATGAGCCAGGTGTCAGTCAGCAAAGACATGCATACAGCAGGTCAGGTGACAGAGATAAATAGGATTATTGCTCTCTGTGACCCACATAAAGGGCTGATGATGCAACAGTTAAAGCACAGCAGCAGATCAGAGACTGAGCACAGGTTTTAATTAGCTGATGCTTCTACTAATGGTGCTTTATACAGCAACATAATTTTATATATATATATATATATATATATATATGCATATCTTTTAGGTATAGAAAACGTAAGAAATGTGCACTATTTTTCATTGTTGACATTTTCCTTTAACACACTTTCATATTAATATCTCAATGTTTAATTTTTAGTTCTACCTCTCTTTTCTTCTTTTGAGCTGCAGAAACTACATTTCTGTCCCTGTAAGTACTGTTGCATGCTTTATTGAGATGCTTTTAATAAATAAACCTTAACTTGACTGAATTTTGCATATTATAATGAATCTGAAGCAGTGGTTCTCAAATAGCAGGCTGGGACCCACTAGGGGGCCTCAGCACACTTCAATGGGGCCTCAAAAATGTTTAGAACAAATGTTTAGAACAAGCTAAACTAAAACAGCTATTAACAGCATTATTCTTATAATTAAATTATTATCATTATTCATAAAAAATATTTTAATTAATTCCCTAAACAGAGTTAATTCACTAAAAAAGTAATGAATTTTTCAAATTAATATAATTTTTTTCCAAGTTATGTCAAGATGTACAGTACTTTATTGCATAGAAATTGTTATTTGGGAGGGGGGAAATAGTTTAAAAAATAATTAGATAGATACAAAAGAAATAGCTAGAAACTGTTGTTTAAAATAAGCCAAACAGTTTACGATATATTGGATATCCAGCTCTCACAGGTGTTTCTATTAAACTCAGCTTGATAATATAGTTAAACATTAAACATGAGGAAATGAAAACTTCTAAACAGACCATGGAAGGCGAGTTCACAACCCAAGCCGTTTATAATTTCTCTATAGATTGAAATACAAATAGCACTAATAACAGGATGTATTGTTCCTCTTCCGTGCTTTAGTAGTTTATAATATACAGCTGATGAGGACGTTAGCTGTACATGCTAACAAATAACACTGGAATACATCGCCTTCAAAATGTATACAAAACATAGAAAGATCAATTTCAAGAAATGTATGCAATGAGATACATTAGCAAACGACCTGACATGCTTGAAATTACAGCTCTTCCTTCTGTTAACAGTGTCTATACTTCACTAGCCTCTACCATGCTGACAGCCCAGTGCTACTTGGTTAGCATTTCACTAGCAAATTAACCCTAACAAAGAAAAGCACAATACTTTTAGGGTAACATCACACAGTTTCCCTTGTCGTCTGATCTCCTCCATCACTGCATATCCACGAGCAGGCAAATCGGCGACAGAAAAATGCATCAAATCTTCTAATTCTTCAAAAATCGTGTCACCCATCGTCATTGATGGACTGGAGACGACACTTTTTGTCCAAACCGAGACGCCGTAGATCGAGCTGTTAAACCGAGTGCCCTCCACCGGCGGTGTCAGTCATGCAGGGGTCATAGACTGCTCACATCAGATTTATGTGGATGTACTGGTCTTATTCATGTGATTCACACATACTTCATGGCTTAGGTTGAGTTCAGCTCACGTGACAGTTTTGCACAGCTTTTGATGACTCTACGAGACCAGACTAGAGTTCTTCACAGTAAACGGTTAATACTAGGATACAGAGCTATTTATGTCATATATTTATATTTCATCCTTTTTCTCTTGCTAGAAGGCTATAGGCTAAAGCAACGGATAGATGCAGAGTTATAAGAAGTTTAGACTGTTGAAGTTTGAAATGGAGGTTTTTGTAGTCACACAGTAGCCTACATATCCGATTCTTGCTGTTGTAGTTTAATCACAATCCACATTTTTGTCATTTTTATTAAATAAAATCATCAGTTCATTTCATGTTGTTGATATCCTACTGTATCTGTCTTTCTTTGCTTTCTGCTGATTATATCTGCCAACACTAATTCTTGAGACATGAGACATGCCAAACTTTGACTTCAAACTTTACCTGCAGTTAGCTATATTTTAAAATAGCAACATTTTCATTTTTTTGTTTTGTTGTTGAATTAATTAAAGATGATCAATAGAATGTTCTTAACACAAATGTGCCATTTCATTTGATTTTCTCTATGTATTGTTTAGTAAAATGATTACTTTAGAAGAATGTTTAGTAGAATGATCACTTCTTATAGGGCTAGATTATACTGTCAGGTTGTCATGCTTTTGCTAACTTTTAGGAGGGAAAACACCTCCTGGAAAATCTTCTGTAAGCAGGAATGGACTGCAGGACACTCGTCCTTTTGTGTCAAAGCAATGCAGAAGTTTAAGGCACAGAAAGCTGGTTGTGGTAAAATCTACAATTGCAAAAACACAGCAAAATTCTAATCAGTCAATATTCAACTCTCCTCTGCTCTCCATTAGCTATTCTAGGGTGCTCCATCTAATCCCCAGAGCTGTATGTGACTAGTTTGGCTAGATGATTGTTCAAGAAGTTACATTATAGATATTTAAATTTAAAGAGTTGCCTAAAATAACCCTCATTGTATACTCTTGGTTATTGTAAATGTCTTATTCCTGTTCAGGTGACAAAAACTACAGCTTGTACAATGAAACACAACCAAAACAAGTACCCACCATGGTCGATAAGCATAATCAGGGCCGGCGCTAGCCATTTGGGTGCCCTAAGCACAAATGCTTGGTGGTGCCCCCCCCCCCCCCCCCCCCCCACTCCCCCCCCCCCCCCCACTCCCCCACCCCCAACCACTCACCCAAGGAATAACAAGCATTCAGAATTTCTTAGTTAGGTTCTCTTTACTTCCAAAATAACTGCTGCAAATAAATCATTTTACATTAACAATGGCACCAAATATGAAAAGAAATAAATAATATAAAGGTTAAAATTATAAATACCAAAAACCACCACAATTACTAAAAACACAGATTTGGAACATGAATGATATATGTGTGTATTGTGTATAATTATTTTGTATATATATATATATATATATATATATATATATATATATATACACACACATTTGCATGTATGTATTTAAGAAATATTTGTTATTTATATAGAAAATATTTAAATGTATATATAATATACATTATATATAATTATATACAGTATATACATGCAAATATTTCTTAAATATATGTACATGCATATGTGTGTGTATTTATATATACAAAATAATTATACACAGTACACACACATAATTCAGTATTAGATATGAGATATCAGAGCGTTTAAATATCCATACTCTTTTGTAACTACACAACTTTACCAGCAGGTGGCACAAAATATCCAGTAAGAGATGTCTGGAAATTTGTACAAATTCTATTTACAAAAATAAACAGAGAACAGACAGTCATTCTGGCAGGCATGCACTGGCAGGAAAATAAGTTGTTCAGAAGAGCTGTTACCTCAGGGGGGATTTAGTAGAAGTGCTTTTCTAAGAAAGAACTAAGAAAGCGTTGGTTAAAAAAAGAGGAGGATTATTTCAAATAAATTAAATAGAACTGATGTAGGTGTTGGGAAGCTTGGTGAAATAACTGAACTGAACTGAACGGAACTGAATGAAGAAATAATGAGGTAAAAAGTTAGTATTTTCATGTATGCATTAAAAGAAAATTATTAATGCCTTGTTCAAGTACAATTGCTGATGATTGGTACATTATTAGCAACAAATGTATTATACTACACCTAGTAGACTTATGCAATTTCTCAATGGATTTCGCAAGAAAGAGTGTGAGAGATAGCAAGGTACAAATATATATATAGCCCTAAACAGATATGTGGACACTGAACACCTAGCTATAGTCTTACAAATGTCTAAGTGTCATTGCATTCATCCACAAATTAATGATGCAAGACCTTTTCTCAGAACTAACTTCCCTTTTCTAAGCAATTTCTGTAATTTTACTTTTAAACAGCTAGTCTCAAGGTCATTTCTAGTGCATATAGCCTACTGTATAAAGTTTATCTCAAATTTCTTAGAAGAGAAACCACATCAGTTCTTCCGATTAACTATGGACATGTTCCACTAACATTTGAAGAGTCCTATTTGAAAATAAAAGATCTATAATTTAAAGCAGAAATGTATTTTTGTCAAGTGTGTTTATATGCCACTTGGTTTGATGTATGCTATTGTATGTGATTTGACAAAGGGTTTTAAGAGTCTGAGGGAAGTTTTCACACGTCTAAACCCAGTCACCCCATTTAAATACTAGTTTCAAGACTCATGCAAGCCTTAACTTGAGAAATACTAAATCACATACACAATTCACTGTTTACACCCACTGCATAGACTTCTCATTTACAGTTTACCTGCACTGTTAGAAGAAAGTGTTTATTTAGAAACTAAAGGGTTCTGTCAGGCACTTCATACATAGACATTTTAAGGGCATGGGATCATTTTATGGATATATAGTTGGAATGAATTAATGTTTTTTTTAAAATAATTTTTCATCTTAATGCTATGAATTAAACAGCTCATAAACACTCCATCAGTAGAAAGAAAATTAATAATGCATTACAATTTCTCATTATATATATATATATATATATATATATATGGCATAAAGGGTTTTTTAACATTGAGTCAAGAACCCTATGTGTTCTACATATTAAACCGGATTGAACCCTTTTTTTCTAAGGAACTCAATAGGCAACAAAACTGTATAAATGACATTTAAAAAGCAACATTACAAACCGTGTATTGTAATTTGAAAGTGTAGTAGGCCATTTATAGCCCAATCACCCTTTGCACTGTGTAAATTATGACTGGGGTTGAGTAATCTGACATGCACTGAATAGTTTTATGGCACGACAGAAAATTATCTCTGTGTGTGCAAATTGTCTAAGCTTTACGGTAGCATGTTAAAAAGAGGAAATTCAGAAAGCTCCAGCCAGTCGGGAAAGCTGGACGGAGATGAAATGATGCCTGTAGGACGGACTCTTTAGTGTACAACACTGAGTATGTGTAGGGTGGACTGGACTGCGACCCACGTCTCTCACGTATGACGCTGTCTGCTTTCGGTAGCTTTATCGTTTTTCTAAGTATTCGTAAGGATGGGATTAAATTGACCATAACAGTGAATGTTTTGCCTCGCTTTTAAAACGCTTTTCGCGAATTGTGTCGTTTTAACGGCCTGTTGCAGTATTTATATGTGACTGATGACGGAACTGTAACTTGAAATCGTGACCAGCGGTATTCGTCGTCACTCTTCTATATTCAATGAAACACGTTTGCAGCTACAACATCGCTGCAAGCCTCAGGAGGTCCTGCGTGCTCAGTTGGTCTTAAAGGAGCCGTCAAAGCAGTACGAAAGGGTAAAATGACTATGTCCGTTCCAGAGAACATATCGGGGTCCGGGGGGAAAGAGGAGGAGAGTGAAGAAGATGAGAGTGAAATCTTGGAGGAAAGCCCCTGCGGCCGCTGGCAGAAGCGACGGGAGCAGGTACGTCTCGAGGTTAAGGGCATATAGGAATCATCGCTGTAATATCTTGCATAGACGACTGGATCAAACAAAAATGTGTATTTAACAATTATTTAAGTACTTAAGTAGCCTACTTGTGGGTGTCCTCGTGATAAACCAGCCCAGTTGGTTTCTCCACATGGAGAGTTTACAATGATTTGCAGCTGTTAACCTCACTAAGGAATGGCCGTTGTAAAAAAACAACAACAACATGTAAAACGATGCATAAATGATTTAATAACAAGTATTTGTGCTTTAAGCACATTTAACATAATATCAGAAGTGTTACACGTAGTTTTCGTATGAGATCCAATGTAAACATTTGAGTTCACGTACAGCCCCTCCCCCTCCGCTCACGTACACGCGCACGCAAATACAGCGCATACATAGTGTATGTCACTATTACTACTAATAATATTTTTATTCATTTGTGTATCATATTTGCTCTTTTTTGTTGTATGAGATAAAATGGGCGTGGAGGTGTCAGCCCCCTCTTGTCGGCTTGTGTTGAAGCGTGATCTCGGCTTTCTTTGAGATAAGTCACAGATACAGTAAACTAAAGCTTATCAGTCCTGGCACACATTCAGGCTATCTATCGTACAGGACACTGGAAACTTGTAACCTCCTCTTTTAACCACGTGCTTCTAATTGTTGAAATGTATTTGTATGCTATTATTAATGTTAATTATTTATGCTTTAGACAACCTCATCCACCTACAGTGTAAAATCTAATTGGATGATTTTACTTTTAAGAAGCATGCAAACCCTTGACTTTTAATTAAGCATATTTATTTGACTATTTAAAATAAAGTGGACTAGGTATTGCATGTTTTTCCTCTGAGTAAGTTGTGTCATCAAGTTTACCTAAGAGTGAACTTAACCATTTAAAGTCATGAAATCAAAATTGACAATTGGCAGCAAGAGCAGAATGAGGGGTGGCTACGAGGCTTGCCATGGTATGTAAAACTTATACTATATTATGAGGGATGATACCTGTATTTTATAAAGATTTAAAAAGGGAAACAATAAAACGCACTTGACAATAACAGTTCCTAACTAAAAGTTACTGGGCACATCAACAGTTGTTTGATTCATCTACAATATGGGTCTGTGCTCCTGAAGGGCTACGGACAGATCTGGCTGTAATTTTCAAGTAATCCAGAACACTTCCATTAGCTGCTTCAGGTGTTTGGATTTAAGCTACACTGTAACCCTGCTCTACTGCATAACATTAGAACAACATGAAAGTGAGTAAATGATGACAGCCTTTTCATGTTAAGGTTAACTAACTATCTCTTTAAATATTATCTAATCTACATGAAGAATACAACACTGTTGCTGAAAATGGACGCACCATTGAGTCGTTCTGGACATGGTGTTTCTGTCTGACAAGCAGGTCCTGTTCGATGGAAAGCAAGAGCACCCTCAGTTGAAACTGTAAGAATAGTATATTGGCGGAACAGATTTGTACGCTCCAGTGCATATTTGTGTTTGTGCTCAGGGAAGCGTCAAAGGTTTCTATTTACATGTGTTTTTGTTGTGTTGAGCAATGTATCCAATCACAGTCATGTCTGTTGATCTCTTGAACTCAATGGCCGCAGAAGAACGCAGAAGTGTTTAAATTACTCAGAATCTAGTCACCGGTCAAAACGCCAGAGTTTTTGTACAGTGCTAAGTTCTGCATGCCCGCGAATCCTCTCATTATAACAAAGTGTAGACACAATGTAAATAGGAGATTCATTGTGCAGTGTAGATAGCTTTATTGATTATATAATATGATCACTTTAATCAAAAATACTTTATTGGATTACTTTTGTGAGATCGCGATGAACTGAGATGAATGACTGCTTTTTAGTCATTATAAAGGGAGCGGTTTTTTGTGCACTTTCTAGGCTATATAATCTATTCAGATTTTGAATAAAAGTTTTGTTTAAAATTAATGCTGCTAAGAGTTTGGAAGTGACTTCCACATATAAATGCAGGATTCACTCTCGAAATTGCAGTGATTGACATATTGGTAACCATGGCAATCGACTGGACACAAATGTATCAAAATAGATGTGTATTATTAAGCAATGTAAATGTAGATTAATAGATTAAAATATTAGAATTTTCCTATCAAAATATTTTTTTTGAAATGCTGCTGCAATTAGGCTATTTGTAAAAGTAATAACTTTTAAATCTTGTAAATCTCTCACTGTACATTGCTATTCCTGTTATGGTGGTTGCATGCTTACACATTACATCTGCACTCTACTAGAGCACCCTCATTAATTTCAGAAGCATATTCAGTAATTTGATTGTGGAACCGGGCCTGTGGACAAGAGTGCGTTCTTCTTTCAACACTTCAGTTGTACTGCAAGGGCACAGCATGCCCTCCAGTCTGTGAAATTCAGTTAGCCTTTTACACTTAGCCTACTGCAGGGACAGAAATGCGCCTTTATCTGAATGAAATAATATCAGACATGGTTAATTTTCGATATGTGCTTTTAAAGTGACCTAATCGAAGTAAGATAATCTTTTATTAGCCGATGGGGATGTTGACTAAGTTGACGCCCCTCCATAAACCAAAACCTAAAATTGTTTGTACATCAGTATGAGCTGTGTCACTGGTCAGCTTTGGGGTGGCAAAACTCATTTTTAGGGTGGCAGCAGGGCCTGCATGGCCTGCATGAGGGCAGAACAACCTATAACTCACATGAGGTCAATTCAATTCACATTTATTTGTATAGCGCTTTTCACAATACACATCGTTTCAAAGCAGCTTTACAGAAAATGCATGAGTCAGTCCACACTACAATTTAGAGTGATCTGTTATCAGAGGTAACTGTCTAAGTTTGTTATATATTTCAGAAATGTACATATACAAAATTTATTAATTTAAACAATGTAACAATTAAAGGCAGAAACTCAAATCTGTGATTAAAGTAATATTGTTTTAACTTTTTTAATTTTCTCAAAATTATATAAAAATGTAACTGGCATACATATACATTATATACCCTAAATATGAGCAGGTAGTATATAATGTTTTGAAATTATTATATTACATGATATTTAAAGTAATTTTTATTCTGACAGTTTTATTTTTTGTTAAAAAAAACAACTTTTGTGTTTACTGTGTAAAAGTAATTTAATTAAAACAAATAAAATAAGCAAACAATTGCGCTTAAGTTAAGCCAACAAAATAGTTTAATTTGAAATGTCTGTTATTTACAGTGTACTCAAAAGCGTGAAATATAATATACGGGACTCACTTTATGTGCATATTTCTGTAAGTTTTTCATGTTATGTTTACAAGCCGTCTGAAGTTTCTTTTTAGAGGTCAGGGGTGAGTCTCAACTCGGTGCGCCTTATGTGTTCTTTTTTCTTGACACTTGATTGTGAAAAGCAATACAGATGGAAAATTCTAAAGTGGATAAAAACAGTGGGACAAAGTGGCTGCAACACAACTAGTAATTATTTTCTCTTTGTGAATAGCTTGTAAGTGGAAGAATGTTATTAGTATGTGGCTCACTCTCTTATTGCGTCAGTGTCGTTAATGGTGCCAAAGCGCAAAGGGTTGGCTAAGAGAAGGACAGTATACTTGAACAACAAGAGTGAAAGTTTTGTTGGGGGTGGATGTTTTCTTTTCTCAATGACATTTAAATGGTAAGACAAGGATCATGCATCACAGCCAGGGTTGCCAGGTTTACGTAACAAAACCTGTTCAATTGCTATTCAAAAGCCTCCCAATCACGGCCAAAACTATCCCAATCGTAATGTAATGTGAAATGATGTAATGTTGGGAGTTTTTTGGGTTGTTACAAAACTCTGGCATTAATGTTTGTTTCGACAGTTTCAACCTTGTGGCATTAGGATTACCAGCTTTGTTTGTTTAGTAGAGTGGGCTTTACTACATTTAAAAAAAAAAAAGACTTAAAATTATATTAGAATTAAAAAATAAAAAGAATTAAAAAAATATTTTGAATCAATGCAAAAACTTCTGCAATTAATTTGAGGGATATGAAAATTTTGGCCGATACAGATAACCGATAATTTTTTATTTGAAAGCCGATAACCGATATATTGGCCGATAAATCTAAATCCAAATTTGTATATAATTTGAGAGCCTAATTACAAAAACAAGTCTCACCATTAAAAGCCATGTCCCAACAACACAATTATAATGTTCTTATTATATTTTTATGTAACCTATAATATGACAGTCTTGCACTGCTCATATTGCACTGAAATGTATTTTCCTTTTTTGAAGTGATTCCAATCATATTTCAAGCAATTCAAAACCTCAGTGTCTTCAGCTGATGGAAATAATCCATTATTTATCAACTTCAATATATCAGCCAAATTTTCTTATTGGGCCGACAATGATAACATTAAAAATGAACATATATCAGCCGATACCGAAATGGTGGCCAATATATCGTGCATCCCTAATTTTACTTGCGGATAGTTTTAGCACTCTCCATAGTTAAAAAAAAAAACAACCTCTTTGATATCTCATTTCTTTGACCAACAACATTAAATGGTGAGCAAATTGAGAATGGAAGTCTAGTGCAACTCAGATGTTTCTCCTGAGAAAAAGCCACGAGTCTCCATGAGTTAAGAGATCTCAAAATCACAAACTGCAAAAAAAAAAAGTCTACAATAGAAAGTTGGACATTTAATTTTTTTTATGTACACATTTCACACAGACCTCCAAGACCAATTTATCAGAGCTATGTTGTTCACATTCACTTTATAGATCAAGACTATTTTATTACAAGATGCATCTGAGACAAAATTTCCCCTCTGGGAAACCACGTCAACAGTTTTTTTTTGAGCAGACGTTTACCACAGTTCAATCTCTACACTTAATTAGCAGCGAGCACATGTGTGTAAATGAGAAACCTGAGGTGAAAATGACTCAGTGGACAGATGGGCGAGCAATGATGTTTTCTGGTGGTGAAGTGTTATTTTTCACATGGGAATGGCACATTCGA